CCTCTTTTGAGAAAAGCTGTAGGAACGGTATGTCTTAATTATTTTTTTTACAGACCATTTTTGAGAGTATGATCCGTAATGACGATCAGTAAGAGAGTTTAGAGGAATAGAGTTCAGTGGCTTATAAGAGAATGAGTTATCACATTTCCTCTCTCCTCTCCTAATCATTCGTCTATTTCCACATGTTTCATCAGCTCGATGTGTTTTGTTTTCTTTACTCACCTACGTTTCACCCTGTGTCTATTTCAGCCAACTTCAACCATGGCTGCGTTTCCATGGCGACAGGCTTTGCAACAGGTCTGTGGGAGGTGAAAGACTGTGCTTCATCGAAGGCGAAATTCATCTGTAGACAGAACCAGGACACGTCTCTGAGCCCCGAGCCGCCCGTCCCCCAGCCTACCCCAAGTCTCAGTGGCTCCTGTCCCAGGGGCTGGAAGAGCAACAGTTACCTGCGCTACTGCTACAAGGTTCATCCCAGTTTCACATTGTCCACGCTGGTATTTGTGTCTTTGCAGTTAAGTCGAACTTTACAATTTGTGCTTAATATGTCATTACCTCTTTACTGTGTTGCAGTTGTTTTATTCCTCGCAGCAGGAGAAGAAGATGAGCTGGCTGCAGGCTAACCTCTTCTGCCGGAGACACGGAGCCGACCTGCTGAGCATCAGCGGCCCGGACGAAGAGCACTTCGTCTTTCAGGTCCTCCATGAGACCTTCGGGTAGGTGGGCACCTCTGAACAGCTGATAGGTAATGATGATGATTGTGATGATGAAGACAATGATGATGATGAAGCTGTGGTCCTTAGGATATCCGAGGACCATGAGCAGCATTGGTTTTGGATTGGCCTCAACCGCAGGAACCCCATGGACAATGGTAGTTGGAAGTGGAGCGATGGATTGGCTGTGAGTAATGAAAAGATATCTGCTCCAAAAAAAAGCAATTTAACAGATTAAAATTTAAAATTATCCGAATCTGTTTATCTTTTTTGTGTTAGTTCACGTACCAGAACTTCGGCCGGTACTACTATAACATTCGGCAGTGTGCTGCAGCAGACTTGGGCACAACAACATGGCTGGCCATGCACTGTGACTCAGAGCTAGACTGGATCTGCAAGATCCCCAGAGGTACAACGACACCAGACCTTTTCTTTGTGATTATTCAAAAGGTTCCGAGGATGAAATTGGAATTTTAGTCCTGGACATATTTAAATTTTCCATCTGAAATGTTGTTTTCTAATTTGTGCTACATCTTTAGTCATTTCTCCCTCCGTCTCATGCTGCATGACATTAACACACCTTTCCCTGCTCCTGTGTTCTTAGGTACTGTTGAGAAGGAACCAGAAGTCTCTGAAGGTCGGTTTTATGAATATAATGAAATAATCTCTTAAGTGTTTGTTTGAAAACCTTCCTGTGATGTCTGGCCATGTTTCTCGCCACGTGTTCTTTCAGGCACCAGTTCGCCCGAGTGGATTCCCTTCCAGGAGGCTGAGTATAAATTTTTTGACCACCGCTCCACTTGGGACCAGGCCCAGAGGATTTGCTCCTGGTTTGACTCCTCGCTGGCATCCGTCCACTCAGCTGAGGAAGACGCTTTCCTGGCCAGCACTTTACACAAGGCACTGGACACTTTATCAAAATGTTCATCATCGTTTATAAGAGTTGATTTAACCCGAAGATGCGATTGATCATGATGGTGTCGGCAAGTGGTCCGGTTTAATCTGGGTAACACCGTGATATACTGAACCTAAATCACCATTAATTATGGTGTCTGCGTACTGCATCACAACCACACCGTGTAACTACAGTTCAGGATGATATAACTGTGCATTTACAATAACACTGTGGTATAAATCTGCAGTACTTTTTTTTCTAAACAAACTGGGAATATTCAAGGTCACTGCAGCCTTGTTCACAGTTTCTCTCTCACGTTTTAGATGGTGAAAGCAGAGGGTGATAACTGGTGGCTGGGACTTCACACCTACGAAAACAACGGCCGTTTCCACTGGTCTGACCACTCAGTGCTCAATTACGTGTCCTGGGCCCTCGGGAGGCCGCATCCACTCAGCCGTGATCGCAGATGTGTTCACATGTCGGCCAACAAAGGTACAAGCAGCCGGGCCGCGAGACCTCAAGAGGCTAAATGAAAAAGCAGTGCACTTAACTCGCGCTTGTGTTTGTCACTTCCAAACAGCGGACTGGGCCGACCAGAAATGTCACTCTGACCTGCCCTACATCTGTAAAAGAGTGAACGTCACAGGCACCATTCCTCCAACTCCATCATCCCCCCACCCACCCGCAGGCTGCCCGGATGGATGGGCGTCCTATCAGCATAAGGTAGATTTCATTGTGTTTTTATCGTGTTAGTTGTACAGCAGATAGGATAGGCATAGCAACTGAATAGTAATACTTTATGCAATGCACCTTTAACTGTCCAGACTCAAACTGACCTGAGCTTCATCTTGTGAAGTGTTTCAGGGTGTTTGATCAGTCATACCGGGTCACATGGTCTGCGTCCAAGTTGAGGTGTGAGACTCAGGGAGGGGTGCTGGCAGTGGTGACCAATCATCTGGAGCAAGGTAATTATAGCAGAACACTCACAAACAGAGGAGAGGTGGTTAGACCCAATCTATCTGTCTGTCTGTCTATCTATCTATCCATCCATCCATTCATCTTTAAACCTTTTCTTAAGTTTGTTAGCCAAGTCTCTTCACGCACATGCACACTGTAACACAATCGATTCTCCGCCCCACAGCCTTCGTCACCACCCTGCTGAACAACGCCAGTGTTGACCTCTGGGTGGGTTTGACCTCAGACTCCAAAGGTCACTTCCAGTGGGCCAAGACTGGCCTGCTCAGCTACACCAACTGGGGCCCTGGGGAGCCACTCGACAACAGCGGACCGCACCAAAACAAGACTCGGGTAGGCAACTCACAACAACACTCACCAACCGCCGCTCTGATGCTTTAGTGTTTTCTTAGCCCTGTTCCAGTTCTGATCATGTCACTGTCACCTCTCAGGGAAACTGCGTGGTGATGATTCATGGGAACCCGCAGAAGAACGCCGGCATGTGGGCCTCCCGAGCCTGTGAGATGGAGAATAATGGTTACATTTGTCAAAGGCATCAAGGTGTGGCGCTCATTATTACCTCAACTGTGTGTTTTTGTAACTGGAGAAGTGTGTTGACATACAGTGAACCTTGTTTCTTCAGACCAAGGTCTGCCTCCCGCGCCTGCCCTGATTCCTGCCTCCCTGTCGAAGCCTGTGGAGTTGGGCGGAGTGACATATCGTGTGGTGGAGAAGCGCCTGGACTGGACCGGTGCTTTGCACCTGTGTGAATCTTTGAATGGGACTCTGGCCATGGTGAAGGATCCCTACCAGCAGGCGTACCTCACACTGCTGATCAACCGCCTGCACCGGCCGGCCTGGGTGGCTCTCTACAACTACGGAGTGAGCCTGGCGACTTAACTTTAATTCATCACTAGAGTCACAGGAGACAGTGATTCACAACTTATACTTTCTTTGATGCTTTCAGGGACGGAGCTTCACCTGGCTGGGTGAAGAAGAAGTGTCGTATTCCAACTGGAATTATGGGGAGCCCAATCACATGGCTGGATGCGGTCACATGACCATTAATGGGCAGTGGACCATTACTCCCTGTGATACTAAACTGGATGCTGCAATCTGTCAAATTAGTGGTATTTATTTGTTATACAACAACAACATACAACAGTCTACATTTTATAAAAACCTAAACTTGAATTTCATTCAAGTTAAACTAAATTTAGTTAATCCCTTATGTTTTTCTCTTTGCCAGACGAGCCTGTGAGTCACCAATGGATCTACCCTGGCAAGTGTCCCAACTCTGTAGGGGATTGGGCCTGGGTGCCTTTCAGAAACCACTGTTACGCCTTCAACCTGCAAACCCTTAGACTACAGCAGGATGCTCGCATGTCCTGTAAAAAAGGTAAGGGGAGAGTTGCGGAAGCTCGCCGTTCGCTTACACTCGTCACATTCTGCTCAGACTCCTGCTGCGTTTGACCTCACGACCTCACGACACTGAACTGAAAACCAATTAGGCACAACACTTCTGACCTTCTCCAGTGCAAACAATTGACCAAACACATCAATATGTCTAAATTTAGAAGTGTTTCATTGAGCCTGCTGCACCACTGGTAAATCTCCATGCACAATCAATTCTGGTTTGTTCCATTTCTGTCCTTTCCTTTCCTTTCTTTTTTCTCTCTCCTAGAGGGAGCAGAGCTTCTCTCTATCTTGGATGAGACGGAGAACGGATTTGTGTCGGAACACATCCAGAGCTATGCGGAGCAGGCACATGGAGCTTGGCTGGGCATCAGCGTGAAAGGTCCAACCTCGAACAACATCCACAGCCGCAGACTTATCAACTTGCAGAAAGTTTAAATCAAAACTTTACAGTTTTGTGCTACTTTAAGTTGAATTATCCTGATCTGTTCACATCTAATTCAGTCAATTTAACCAGAT